ATAAATATTATTTAGCAAATATATTATTGAAAATTATGTAAATAAAATTTATTATTTTGCGATTAATTAAAAATTAAAAGGATTTAAAAAATATTGAGATTTTCAATAATTAAAGGCATTAAAATTTAAACCTCAATCATTCTAAGAACTTTCACAATTTGCTGCAAAATCTAATTTCACAAAACATACAACAAATATTTACTTACAGCAAAAGCAAAGAAGAACAAATTCTCTATTCCTGTTTTTCACAATTTTATTCGGACGAAAACGAAGAGCTCTCTTCAAGTTCTCGACTTCAACACAAGTCAAAGAAAAATCGAACAGTAGAAAGAAGGAGGAGGAATTCAAGATTCTGGAGATGTCCTGTCCGCGATTCGCCTTATATATGCGGAAAGAACATATGTTCTACACGTGACAGCAGCCTTAAATGTGAGAAAGGGTCACTCAGATGTCCACTCAAGTCCAGGTGCTGCTTTCTTTGGCGGCTCCGTGGATGGACCACCGGGGAGTCACTCGAAATCAATCGCACATAATGTCGCCTTTGTATTATCTGGCAGCAAGTAAGTATTGATTCGTAATAGAGATTATTATTGGACGGTAGAAAAAAAATGTTGGCAGCAATCTGAAGCATTCCAGAAAAAATTGACTGAAGAATGGTAAATAATTATCAGTCAAGCACAATTAATAAGAGATCAGATTGGTTTTTCTTTTTTAATGAAATCAGAATATGGGTGATTGGTTTGGATTAGAAATCAACATTTATGTTGTTATTTCTTCAAAAAAAAAATGATTGAAGATTGATAAATAATTATCAGTCAAGTACAATTAATGAGAGATCAGATTGGTTTTCTTTTTTAATAAAGACAAAATGTGGATATTGTAACGGATTGGTTTGTTTTTTTTTTTTTCTGTTTCTGTTTCTGTTTCTTCAAAAAAAATGATTGAAGATTGATAAATAATTATCAGTCAAGTACAATTAATGAGAGATCAGATTGGTTTTCTTTTTTAATAAAGCCAAAATGTGGATATTGTAACGGATTGGTTTGTATATTTTTTTTTTCTGTTTTTGTTTCTTCAGAAAAAGAATGGCTGAAGAATGATAAATAATTATCAGTCAGGCTCAATTAGTTAGAGATCAGATTGTTTTTCGTTTTTAATATTGTGATGGATTGGTTTGTATTTGTTCAGTTGTAATCTTTATTGAGAAATCAATATTTATGTAGTTTCTTCAGGAAATCTTCAATCAGATTGATAAATAATTATCAGTTAAATACAATTAATAAGAGATCAGATTTTCTTTTCTTTTTTTAATAAAGTCGGAATGTTTGTATTGTAGTGAATTAGTTTTTATTTTTGTTATTGTTGTTGTTGTTATTTCTGTTTCCTCAGAAAAAAAATGACTGAAGAATGATAGGTAATTATTAGTCAAGCACAATTAATTAGAGATCAGATTGTTTTTCTTTTTCTAATAAAGCCAGAATGCGGGTATTGTTGTGGATTAATTTGTATTTATTCTGTTGTTTCACTTTTATTCAGGAAAAAAAATCACTGAAGAAAGATAAATAATTATCAGCCAAGTACAATTAATGAGAGATCAGATTGTTTTTCATTTTATTAAAGCCTGAATGTGGGTATTGTAATGGATTGATTTGTATTTTTCTGTTGTAATCTTTATGAGAAATCAATATTTATGTTGTTTTTCTTCAGAAAAAAAAGGACTGAAGAATGATGAATAATTATCAGTAAAGTACAATTAATGTGAGATCAAAATGTTTTTCTTTTTAATAAAGCTAAAATGTGGGTATTGTAGTGAATTAGTTTGTATTTTTTTCTGTTGCTTCTGTTCCTTCAGAAAAAAAAAAAATTACTGAAGAATGATAAATAATTATCAGTCAAATACAATCAATGACAGATCAGATTATTTTTTTTGGTAAAGCAAAAATGTAGGTATTGTAGTGGATTGATCTGTATTTTTTCTGTTGTAATTTTTTTGAGAAATCCATATTTATGTTGCTGTTTCTTCACAAAAATAACTGAAGAATGGTAAATAATTATCAGTCAAGTACAGTTAATTACAGATCAGACTGATTTTCCTTTTAATAAAGCCAGAATGTGGGTATTGTAGTGGATTGGTTTGTATTTTTTCTGTTGTTTCTCTTTCTTCAAAAAAAAACTGACTGAAGAATGATAAATAATTATCAGTCAAGCATAATTAATTAGAGATCAGATTGTTTTTCTTTTTTAATAAAGCAAGAATGTGGGTGTTGTAGTGGATTGGTTTGTATTTTTCTGTTGTAATCTTTATGAGAAATCAATATTTATGTTATGTTCTTGTTTCTTCAGAAAAAAATGATTGAAGAATGGTAAATAATTATCAGTCAAGCACAATTAATTAGATATCAGATTGTTTTTTTTTAATATTGTGGGTTTTTGTAGTGGATTATTTTGTATTATTTGTGTTGAAATATGAGAAATCACTATTTATGTGTATTTATTTATAGTGAGTACAAATATGCAGTTCAGTTTGATATTTTAATCAAACTGATGATGTATCAAACTGATTTCTATCTCTCTCCTTTTATTGTTAGATGTGCTTTTTGATGCATTTCAGCCATAACAAACAGATAAGCAATGGTATTGCCTTCAAAGAGAACTTTTAGAAGTATGCTCGGCGTATGGAAAAACTCAAAAAAGCGCCCTGGCAACTTGAAACCAACATTAGACCTTGAGCATAAAGTTGAGTTCTTCTGCATGCTAGCTGCCCAAGTTATAGTTAGTACATAATTGATGATTGTTAGTATTTCATAATTGTAAAAATATTAAGGGATATTTAAATTGTGCAACAAATTTCTAAAATTGAAAAATATTGAATCCAAACATTTAAAACACAAATCTTTAAATAATTCAGACATAGAAGTGATCCGGTGGTCAGCGTGTTTAGTTTGGATGACAAGAGAAATTTCTGTGTTCAGATGCCAAGTGAAGCTTTTGAATTCACGTGCTAAGTGAAGTTTCTGAGTTCAGATAAGTAAAGATTCTGAAATCATCTGCTAAGTGAAGCTTCTTAGTTCAGATTCCAAGTGAAAATACTTAGTTCAGATGTCAAATGAAATTGCTTCGTTTAGATTCCATGTGAAATTGTTATGTTCAGATTCCAAGTGAAGCTTCTGAAATCAGCTGCTAAGTGAAGCTGCTGAGTACAACTTCTAATTGAAGCATCTAATTTTTCGTTCAGTTCAAAGTTCAGCAAGCATGTTAAACAGAAGCTCCCATGTTTACATCCGGAATAAACGCTATAAATTCGTTAAGTGTTTTGTTGGGTTAGAAGAGGAAGAAAGACATGAACACATCCTCCATCAGATATTCTTCCTATGGAATGTTCTTTCTAAAATAAGATAAATAACTCACTGAAGTGTTGGCTTTTAATAAAGGAGTCAAAAAGTTACTTTTGAGTCAAACGGGCAAGAGTGTAAATGTATTCACTTTAAAAAGCATATTTAAATAATTTATAGAATATATATATTTCACTCTCTAAGATTAATGAACTAATTAGTATTTAGACAATTTAACTTGCGATAAAAATCATCATAGGGAAACAATAGCATAACCAAAAAAAACTCACATTATTTTGTTCTATTTCACATTTATTAATTATTTATTTGCAGATACAATTGCAAAAGAATTATTTTGAATTTAATTTTTAGAAAGCAGAACAATTATCATTTATTTTAAAAAGTAGAACAATCATTTATTACAAAATAATTAAACATAAATACATTTTGTCTTTGAAATTTTAAAAAATGATCTATTTTAACAATAACTATAGTTATATAATATAACTACTAGTAAAAGTTCATTTAATGAAATAGAATTCAAAGGTCATAGAAACTAAACTGTTGTTTTTCACCCTATTTTACAAAGAAAAGCTGCAATAAATCTGAATTTAAATTTTATTGTTTTAGTAACTATCTTTAATGACGACATAAATTCTCTTTATAGCTATTGATGGTGTTTTTTATTACTTCGGTGAGCTTTATTACATTTCGGGGCTTATTTATACTTTATTTAAGCAAAAAAAAGGCTTCTTAATGTTATTTATACCTTGAAAGATACCTTATAAGAATTTAATAATAACAATTTTCTAATATAATATGTAATATTGAAAAAATATCTACATTCGTGTGTATTAAAATTATTCTACGATTTGTATTTATTTTTAGTAATGAAATTTATTTGGAGTATTTTAAGGACTATATAAGTGTAGGATTTAGTGTATTTTGAGGAACAAGTAATATTAAAAAAAAAAATTTTAAGTCAATTCCTACTTTTTTTTTCACTTTTTATTGCAGAAAGTCCTTTATAAAAATTTTCATTCATTTTTTAAGTTATAAAAAATTCCCTCTCTCTCTCTCACATACACATTTTCCATCTCCCTCACTCATTTATTCACATGTTTCGTTTTCCATTTTGTTCCCTCCTTGACTCAGACTAGATCCCAGAATGAAAAAGAATCTGAAAAGAAATTTTTTCCAGCGATCTACACGCTTCGCCACTGACGATATTTATTCCAAAATTTATATCCTGCTAAATATCTTATATAAGATAAATTTTTTTCTCCCTATAAAACTAAAATTAATTCATTAAATTTAATGAATGAATTAATATTTGAAAAACTGTATTAACATCAAGTGTCATCCACTACAAGCTTTAAAAAATTTAAGTGAACTTGAGTAGATAAATAAAAATTATTTTATTAACGATTGAAAATTTGAACAAGATACATAAATATGCATAAGGAGAGTGTGAACTAATAGTAGGAATTGAAAAATAGTCCTTAAAATACACCAAATGAATTTCATGATTTGAAATTAATTTAAAAACAATTTACAATTGTCATAAAATTATAATAATGATACTATAATGACGTAATAAAATTATTGATAAATGAAACTATACTTTTTAAAATTCTGTTTTCATACTCTTTTATGCAACAAATCAAATCGTTAGATCACCGAAGTCAAGCATCATTGGGCGCGGTCAGTACTTGGGTGGGTGACCACCTGGGAACACCGCGTGCCGTTGGCATTCACAAATTTGGGACCTGAATGGCCGAGTGTCTAGCGCTCTGGCGCTCGGTGCCACAGGTTTTCGGGTTAGAACCCGGCGGTGCCATTTATGTTTGTAGTGGTTCGGAATCCACTTTAAGCAGTAGGTCCCGGTCTCCTATGACTGTAAGAGCGTCACGGAGCCAAAGTCAGACTTCTACCTACGGGTGCTCCATCACAACAGAAGCTGCTTCCTTCCCCTTCAATCATGAGTACGTATGGGCTCGTGGACTTGGCCAGCCAAGTGGGATAAGAAACAACAACACAAATCAAATAATTTCAAATCTACTAAATTTTAAAAGTTTAATTACATTTTAAACCTTTTTTGTGCAAAATATTAAGCCTCAAAATATTCAAAGTATCTGTCTGAAATAAATGAATTGATGCACGTGTTCCACTGTTTACCACTTCAAAAATGCGATTTATAAAATATTTACGGTCACTGTATTAAATCGTCTTATATCTTATCTTATCAATTTTCCGAGATACTCTTCATTCAAGCTTCTAATAATAATTCGCTTAATACTATAGTAGCTTACTTACATCATTCATAACTTAATGAATTATTATAGCTTGAGAAATTTAAGCACATACACACATTCATTCGTGATATTGTATTAATTTAAAAATCTAGCATGTTGTAATATTATTATTTAAACCTCAGGAGTTCAGATTTATGTATATTCTCACGTTCAGAGGCCACAGCAAAATTAATTACTGTCTGCTTGAAACTTCGTCCTTGAAGTACTACTTAATCATTAATCATTAATCATTGTAAACAGGTATGGTATTATAAATCATGAGTTGAATTAGATCCATCAAAAGCTTTATTTTCAAAGTTTATTTACTACTATCAACAAACTCATGGCTGAATTTAAAGTTAAGTATTTTCAGAATTTTCTCGTACGTTAAAGGTTTTCTAATGAGTATATTTAGGAATAAAAACCCACGTTGTTATGCATTAAACTCGATTTATTATTACGCATTAATTTTTCCATCTAATTTTGTTATTGAAATTATTACGGTTACAACAAACAATTCTGGAGGAATCTGACTCAGGTTAGCACTATTGCAGTCCCTGCTTTCAAAAATGAGGATACTTGATGGTAACTGTAACAACATGCATAAAGTGTCTTAAATCGATAATCAAGCTGTCTCGTGAGAGTTTTCTGAGTTTTCTCCCTTACGACGTAGGATCAAATGTAGGTTAGTTATCCCTAAGAGTCCTCTCCTCTTGTTACAGATGTTCGTGACAAACATAAGGACACAAGAATAAAAATATATCAAGAACAAGAATATGTATCAAGACCAAAAAAAAAATGCATCAAAAATGTGTTATTTGTTTTCATACTAGAGCGAGAAACACTAGTAAATGGTTAAGATTTGGCAATGAGGTATACCTGCTGGCAATGAACCTTACAGTTACTACTATGTGTGTGTGTGTGTGTGTGTGTGTGTGTGTGTGTGTGTGTGTGTGTGTGTGTGTGTGTGTGTGTGTGTGTGTGTGTGTGTGTGTGTGTGTGTGTGTGTGTGTGTGTGTGTGTGTGTGTGTGTGTGTGTGTGTGTGTGTGTGTGTGTGTGTGTAACTCATCCTCAGTATCCCCTGCAGAACGGGAAGGGCCTGCTGAGTAGACTACTCATGGATGGAGGTAAAGGGGCAGCTTCTGTTATGATGGAGCACCGGTAGGTAGAAATCTGACTTGGCTCTGAATTCCGGAAGAACGCTCAACGGTTATATTAGACTGGGACCTATGGTTTAAAATGGATTCTGAACCAAACTAGATTCCATAGATAGTGGATTTAGAGTGGATTGCGAGCTACAAACATCCACGGCACCGCCGGGAGTCGAACCCAAAGCCTGCGTTATTGAGCGCCATCAGCCCTTCCTTTCCCTACTTTTTATAATGAGGGGGAATGGTGACGATTGTAACAGCATGTGAGAGGATCTTGCATTGGATATTGATTGCACAAAGGGAATTCTCTGGATTTCTGAGAATCCTCCCGGACGGGAAAAACCCTCGGGAAATTTCCATCAGACGGCCTTACATAGAATATCATATTCATCATTGATCATTGTTTAATTTCTGGAAACAATGACTATATCGCACACCGCCGGAGGGGTTCCAAACACAGCCCCTTTTAAAGTGACTGGCCCACGAATTGGGTATTTATTTAGTACTGGATTCAATTAATTACTAAAACTACAGAAAATAACAATATAGTAGTGGAAAAACATTTTCCTACTGAAATGTTTTTATTAGAAGGTTAAAAGAGGTTTAGAAAAGCATTATTGAAGCTTTGAAGGTTAACAAAAGCATTATTAAGCTTATTTGAAATACTTTTGCTTTATTAGTTATTGTTGACTACATTGCACGCCGTAAACTCTCAGAATGTTAACGAATTCACCCTGGTACTTTCGTAGTGACGATATTAGACGAGCTCTCTCGATTCCAAGTTTAAGACAATTTGTTCACGAAATTTCTACTCAATTCTATAATGATATGCGAAACATCAATAACCCTCTTTTAAATGTCCTACAAAATGGCGATTATGATATTTCTTCCCGCAAATATAACAAAAGACCTCGCACTGTTCTAAATATTTTAAATTAATTCCTTACAATTGCCTAGATGAAAAAAAGTTCGCTTTTCTCCTAAGCTATTTTTCTCCTAATTTGACCTTTGCTCATTCTGTTTTATTTTTTTGATTACATGCAACTGATTTCATCAACATCTACACTCTTGAAATTTTTTTTTTTTTTTTTTTTTTTTGGGGGGGTCCATTTTATAATTTTATTAAATAAATAATTCTTTTTTAAAAAAGGGCATTTAATTATATATTTTTTCTTATTAACTCAAAGGGCATGAGACAACCGCTATGTTACAACATTTTACAATGAAGGAGCTAGTGGCCGCTACGCGGCCAAGGATCTCCGTGTTAATCTACAATAAGATTGCAAGCCGGCAACGGGCAAACTCAGCCCTCCAGTACATGTGTGATTTGGCCCACGAGTTAGGTGTTTATTTAGTACTGGATTCACTTAATTACTATACAAAAAATAACAATATAATAGTGCAAAAACTTTTTATTAGAAGGTTAAAAAAAAAGGTTTAAAAGGGCATTATTGAAGCTTTGAAGTTAAATAAGCTTAACGAAAGCATTATTAAGCTTATTTAAAATAGTTTTGCATATGCGATAACAAATGAGAAAATAAATTGCTTCCATGTAATGAATGCAATTCATTTATTCATTTTTCATTTTCATTTTCATGGGCATTATTATTTGTAAAATAATATCTCGAGTTTTTATTTATTTACAGATTTCGTTTTAAATATAAATAAACAAAAAGTCTTTCATTTATATTTATCTTTTGGATTTTCACCGCATTCACCCTTACTGGTTCACCCTTTTTAAGTTTTTACTGTTGAAGAACTTCTGCTAGACATTTATGTCTGAGATTTAGAATACCATTTCTTAAACAAAATGCTTTCTGGTACAAAAACCTAGAGTACATGGAAAAAAAAAAAGGATAACATTTTTGTTTCCTTGGCTGCTATCCAACTCAGTCAATTTCCATTGTTCATGGTTCAATTCAGTAAGTTTCCTAAAAGAAAAATACTCTTCTCGAAAAACTCCACTTACAGGTGGTACTTCCAATTTTAAAAAGACAGGTTTTAAAGTAAGTGAAAATGCAATGCAGATCAGTGAAAACTTATCCACAAATTCTTAAGGAAGAATTCAATGTCAGATTTTTAACGTGTTGTTATTCGGAGAAAATGTTTTCATATTTCTTTTAACAAAACTGCCGGAACTGAGTAATTTTATCATGAATGTTATTTAGAAACTTCCATCTTAAAGTAAGATTCACGTGGAACAGGATCTGTCCCAAGCTTCTTCTGGCTTCTTCTGTGACGAAACTTTTACTTACGAGGACTCCCTCTTCCTTCCATCATAACACCAGATCCCTCCCCTCTATGAAAAAAGGTGTGTTTGTGTAGAATAAAGCTTAATATTCCTTATTTTGAAAGAGAATATAATTGAATGTAAATGTGTATGAATAAATATGTGGATGATGTAAGCTCAAGACGTTATTTTTCAACTAATTATTTAGATTTATGAATAATTATTAAGGAAGTAATAATTATGATAATAATACTATATACCATCTTAATTTTAACGTAATTCCAAAAAAGGCGAAACTTGTATGAACTACAAAACAATCAATAACCTTAAAAAACACAAATTTAAGAAATATTTTTTAATAAATTTTATAAAACAAAATTGTAAAAATTCAATATTTATATACAAATTTCAAAGTTTGATTTTGTTTGTCGCTCTATGGTCATTTTTCACACACTTTAGGCTAATTAAACATGAACCTACAGCTTAAAGTGGATTCCGATCCACTAACAAACATTCTTGCCACAGCCAGAATTCGAACCTGAAGCCTGTGGTACCCATGGCCAGAGCACATTCCAAGGAGATAATACAGTCTGGAAATGCTTAATTAAAGAAAGGAAAATATTATGCATTTCGAATACGTTTTGTAAGTCAGGGTTCTTCTTCGAATTCAAGATCTGTTTAACCATCGGAAACGGAAAGAAGTTGTCCTTAAGTTGTTCATCTCCACGTTGTACTGGTTCGAAAAACAAATGGAACAGGTCTCATCCAAATAAGAAAGTGGTTCATCATCGTCTCACTCCGTGCTACTATACATTGCTGGCACATTTCAAACCTATCTTCTTACAAGGTAAGGCTCCTCGACATCTTTCTCGCAAGAGTCTTCAGAAGAGTATCAGACGCTGAATCTCTTTTCATGTCAAAAATACACGCTCAACCCCCCCCCCTTCCCTCCCTACTCTTAGTTAATTAAAAATAAATGCCATTATATTACTAATAAATTTATAAGCAAAATAATCATATATGAATTATATCTTGAGATGTTTTAGATCAGAAAGGATTGTCCAAACAATCCT